AATAGTTCATACATCAACAACCAAATACACTTTCTTCTCAGCAGTACATGGATCCTTCTCTAAAACAGATCATACTTTAGGTCACAAAGCAACTCTTAGCAAATACAACAAAATAGAGATAATACCTGCATTTTGTCAGATCATAAGGGAATGAAATTAGAAATGAATGATAAAATAAGAAATAAAAGTTACTCTTAACAACTGGAAACTAAATAATACACTATTAAATGACCAGTGGAAATGTGAAGAAATCAGGGATGAAATTTTAAAAATACTTAGAGGTGAGAATAGTGATATAATATATCAAAAATCTGGAACACTATGAAGGCAATACTAAGAAGAAAATTGATTGCATTGAGCTCATTCATTAAAAGAATAAAAAGTCAACAAATAAATAACCTAACATTACATCTCAAAGCTCTAGAAAAAGAAGAACAAATAAATACCAGAAGCAATAGAAGACAGGAAATAATGAAAACTACATCTGAAATCAATGAAATTAAAACAAAAAAAAATCCAAAAAATAGACAAAACAAAAAGTTTGTTCTTTGAAAAAATGAATAAAATTAATAAACCCTTAGCCAAGCTAACAAAGAGAAATAGAATACTCAGATTACTAAAATTTGTGATACAAAGGGAAATAACACAACAGACACTACTGAAATACAGACTACATTCAGAACTTGTTTTGAAAACTTAAATTCTAATAAAATATAAGATCTTGGAGACATTGACAAATTTCTGTAGACATATGACCTACCCAAATTGAATCAGGAGAACATCGAACATCTAAACAGATAAATTGCAAGCAATGAAATTGAAGACATCATCAAAAGTCTATCAACAATGAAAATCCCAGGACCACATGGATTCTCAACTGAGTTCTACCAGACCTTCAAAGAAGAATTTACACCAACATTCCTCAAATTATTCTATGAAATAGAAAAGAAGGGAACCTTTCCCAACTCATTCTATGAAGCCCCCTAATACCAAAAGCAGACAAAGACACATCAAGAATAAATAACTTCACATCAGTATCCATGGTGAACATAGATGCAAAAATTCTTAATAAAATATTGGTAAATTTTATACAAAAACATATTTAAAAGATAGTGCACCATGATCCAGAGGGGTTCATCCAAGGGATGAAAAGTTGGTTCAACATACAGAAATCAATGAATGTAATTCATCACATCCATAGACTTAAAAGACAAGAATCACATGATTTTCTTAATAGATGCAGAAAAAAGCATTGGACAAAATACAGCATCCACTTGTTTTCAAAACACTAGAAAAATTAGGAATAGTAGGAACATATCTCAACATTGTAAAAGCTATATATGGTAAAACAAAGCAAATGTCATTCTAAATGGAGAAAAATTGAAAGCGTTCCCTCTAAAAACTGAAACAAAGCAGGGATGCCCTCTTTCACAACTTCCTTCAAACTCTAACCAGAGCAATTAGAGAGAAGAAGTAAAAGGGATACAAATAGGAAAAGAAGAGTTAAACTATCCCTATTTAGTGACAACATGCTTATATTTAGAACAACCCCCAAAAAAATTGCCCCAGAAAACTTATAGATCTCATAAATTAATTTAGCAAAGTAGCAGGATATAAAATTCACACCCATAAATGAATTGCTTTCCTATACATCAATGATGAATCTACTGAAAAAGAAATTAGGAAAACTATTCCATTCACAATAGCCTCAAAGAAAATAAAATATTTGGGAATCAAAATTACAAAAGAGGTATAAGACCTCTACAATGAAAACTAGAGAATGCTAAAGAAAGAAATTGAAGAAGACCTTAGAAGATGGAAATATCTCCCATACTCTTGGTTAGGCAATATTAATATTGTTAAAATGGCCATACTACCAAAAGTGCTATACAAATTTACAGCAATTCCTATTCAGGTACTGATGATGTTTTTCATAGGAATAGAAAAAGCAGTCATGAAATTCATTTGGAAAAAATAAGAGGCCCAGAATAGCCAAAGTTATGCTTTGCAAGAGAAGTGAAGTAGGAGGCTTTATAATACCAGACCTTAAATTATACTACAAACATATAGTAACAAAAACAGCATGGTATTGGCACTAAAACAGACATGAAGACTATAATACAGAACAGAAAACATAGAGAGAAATCCACATAAATACCGTTATCTCATACTAAACAAAGGGTCCATACATATGCATTGAAGAATAGATAGCCTCTTCAACAAATGGTGCTGGGAAATCTGGAAATACATTTGTAATAAAATGAAATTAGACCTCTATTTCTCACCCTGCACAAAACAACATGCTTCATGGACCTACACATTAGAAAAGAGACCCTGTGCCCTCTAGAAGAAAAAGTAGGCCCAACTTTTTATCATATCTGCTTAGGAACCAACTTCCTCAATAAGACTCTTGAAGTGTAAGAAATAAAATCAAGAATCAATGAGATGTGTCAGACTAAAAAGTTTCTTCAAGTAGAGGAAACAATCAGGACATGAAGAGAGAGCCTACACAGTGTGAGAAAATCTTTGCCACCTGCACCTCAGGTAGAGTATTAATCTTCAGGATATATGAAGAACTCAAAAATCTTAACACCAAAAAAACCAAATAACCCAATCAGTAAATGGGCTAAAGAACTGAACAGGCACTTCATAGTAGAACAAATATAATCAGTCCACAAATATATGAAAAAGATTTTCAACATCACTAGCAATTAGAAAAATGCAAATTAAAACGACACTGAGATTTCATTTCATTCCAATCAGAATGGCAATTATCAAGAATACAAGTAACAATAAATGCTGGTGAAGATGTGGTGAAAAAAGGTCACCCATATATTGCTGGTGGGAATACAAATTGGTGAAACCACTCTAGAAAGCAGTATGGAGATTGCTCAGAAAACCTGGAATGGAACCACCATTTGACACAATTATCCCACTCCTTGACATAAATTCAAAGGATTTAAAATCAGCATACTGTAGTGATGTGGCCACATCAGTGTTCATTGCATCTCAAATCACATTAGCTAAATTATGGAATCAACCTAGGTGCCCTTTAATAGATGAATGGATAAAGAAAAATGTGGTATATATACACAATGAAATATTACTCAACCATAAAAAAATGAAATTATGGAATTTGCCAATAAATGGATGTAACTGGATACTATCATGCTAAGGCCAAATGTTCTCTCTGATATGCAGATGCTGACTCATAATAGGCAGTGAGGAAGGGAAGAAAGGGGGTTACTGGATTGGACAGGGGTGAATGGTGGGAAGGAAGGGCAGATTAAAAACAACAGAATGAATCAGACATAACTTTCCTGTGTTCACATATGAATACGTGACCAGTGTAACTCCACATCATGTACAACCACAGGAATGGGAAGTTATACTCCATGTATATATGATATGTGAAAATGCATTCTACTGTCATGTTTAACTAAAATGAACAAATTGAAAATAAAAGAAGAATTAGTCTTATTACTTCATTAACACATTTTATCAGGTTAGGTGTGCAAATGTAATAGTTGTCATTTATGTATAATTATTTGTATTGAAACCTAAATGACACATCATTTTATTATGTTTATTATTTTTAATAAAATAAAGTAGGCTTGCTACAGATTTGTCTTCATAAAACCACATTTTGGGACATCTTATAAATAAATGGGATTTACTACTTTAATAGCAGTCTTTAATAAAGATGTATGAAACATTTTCAGTAAATGAATAATCTTGCATTTTCAAAATTAATTCATTGCTATTGGGATTAAATTATTTGGAATGAAACTAAAAAGAAATATATTAGATATGGTACATTATATGGCATATAATATTTATTAATTTATTCTGCAGATATTTATTAGACAGTCACTCTGCTGGCAGTCTGTTAAGGTGCAGCAGTAATTGAGTTACACATAGAGTGTGCCCATAGAATACTTTTCCATATGCTTTGGTTAAAAAAATTAAATAATGCTGTGGGAGTACGAAAGAGAGTCTCTTTGGTACTGAGAATGCTTCTTAGAGTAGTGCCTATATAGAATCTCAAAGAGATGACAAGGGGTTTATTAATGTCTGATGAAAGGGTAATTCTGAAGACAGTCTTAAGACAGAGGGAATTGTGGAGAGATGACATTGGTTTTTAAAGTTGGGTGGTTACCAGAAAATATAATATTTTAAAAATCAAGTTATTCTGATTATCTGGGTTTGGTCAGTCATTGGACTTTTGTCCATATTTGTTTACATATGCATTTTTGAACTGACCTGCCATATTAGTCAGCTTGGACTGCCATAACAAAATGCCATAAACTATGCATCTTAAACAACAGTAATGTATTTCTGTCAGTTCTGGAGTCTGGAAGTCTAAGATCAGAGTGTTGACTGATTTTATTCCCAGTGAATTTCTTCCATCCTCCTTCTCAGTGTATCCTTACGTGGAAAAGACAGAGCTCTGATGCCTTCAAAAAGCCCTATCTTCAAAGTCAATTTTATTGGAAGTTAAGGCTTCAATATATGAATTTTGTGGGGGAAACGTTCATTCCATAGCATCTGCCTTTAACACAAATGTCTTTAACAGTCTTGGGAAGATTATGTCAATATGTAAGAGTTCTTGTTAGCAATGAGTTCTTTTAAGTACTGATTGCACCACTGAAATCACCAATTAGTTCTTTGTAGATATTTATTCTTTAGCCCAAAAATGAGGATTATACTGATTGATTTTATTTACTTAGGAAAATGGAGGGACAGGGTGAAAACAGATATTCTACTGGTATTTTTTCTGCAATCAAAAAGTTTTGCCAGCATTGTATAAGATAGTTCATTAATAGATATTTTTATATATTTCCAAATATTTTTGAAATTTTTAATTTTAATTTTATTTTTTATTTTTTGCTGGGCTAGGTATTGAGCGCAGAGCCTCACATATGCTAGGCAAGTGCTCTATCACTAAGCTACATTCCTACCCTGTCTTATTTTAAATCTATATTTTATTTGTTTTTTAGGACCTTTTGGCTGTGGGGTATGGGCACTTTGGATTTCAAGAGCAAAAAAGAGGATTGGCTTGCTGCTGGTCAATAAAGAATCCCATGGTAACCCAAACAGAAATAATAATCATGTTTAATTATTTAAATGTTGACAAAATTCTCATAAAGTTTTTGTTAGGATTTTTTTCTTCATTTTCATTGGTTTATCTCCATAATAATTAAAATATGTTTTTGATTATACAGGGTAAAGGGAATTCATTCATGAATTTATTTAATAAATATTTATTGAGCATCTTATATATGCTGTTAGATCTGATGATGCATAATTGAACCAGTATTAATTATATAATCACAGCTAATTATAAAGAAGAATGAATATACAAATGAAAATTCTTAAAAAATTAAACATTTCTTTTTAGACTTAATTGTTTCTTAACATTATGAATCGGTCTTTATGACATGACCTCTGCTATCCTCAATAGATATAAAATAAGTTGACTTTCTTATTGTCATTAATTTTAAAAGAGAATAAGTAAGAATCATGGTAATCTATTTTTCTAAAAAGGCCTAGTCAGTCTGTTACTTTAGTTTTAATTCCAAACTGAAATCTAAACTGGGAGAGGTGGCACACGTTTGAAATCCCATTTATTCAGGAGGATGAGATAGGAGATTGCAAATTTAAGGCCAGTTTTAGCAATTTAGCAATACTCTGTCTCAAAATAAGAAAATGAAAATGTGAGTAGCTCAGTAGCTCTGTAGTAGAGTACCCTGTATTCAATCCCCAGTACAAAATAAATAAAAAGCAACTGAAATGCAGAGTGGAAAATTTAGAGAAGTGTTTAAAGAGTATATAAAAAGTGGTTAGTTTTTTCTAAATAACTCCAATCTGTCAGGACACTAGGCTTATATAGCATAAAAGAAAAAAGCAAATTGTTCTAAATATGGAAAGATCCACAGAGAATTTATCAGTAATTTGTCTTCTTTTTCACATGTGTGGTTAGAAAGAGGAAAGAATTTAAATTACACTGGATGGACTTGTACAGCAGAGCAAATTAGAATGTTTTGGTGTATTTTTCTATGTTAGATATAATAGGTAACACAAGTCTAAAATAAATACTGGAATACAGAAATATATGCTAGATGATTTGTTACCCATTATATGTTTCCATAAGAAGGTAGATATGTGATGCTCATGGTAATCCTGCTGAAAGAATACCAAAATACTATAGTATTATAGAATCCAGTGATGCATTTATTAAAGATATCAAGTACGATTGATTCATACTTTGATAAAAATAAAACTATTTTATTTTTATCTATAATAGAGTCAGGAAGACAGGAGTAACTGAATGTGGACTGATTTTTTTCACCTCCCTACTGCTACCAGATTAGTCTCTGCCACCATCATATCTTGCCTTACTATCTATCATCTATGAAAACAAGTTTAAAATGTAATTATTTCTTTATTCAGTGGCCAGAACGCATTTATCAGAGTCCATATGGAGTTACTGCTGTGGATTTTTCAATTGAAACACCTAACCTGCTAGCAGTTGGCTATCACAATGGCACAATTGCAGTTTATAATGTACAGAGCAACACAGATGTTCCAATTCTGGATAGTAGGTGAGAATATAAGAATTAGGTAAATATACAATACATACTTTTTCAGGAAGACTTACTCTAATGTTATTTAGTTTTAAGTGAATATTTGTGTTATTGAAATTTCTATTGTTATTTCTGAAACATGTAATACTTCTTCATGCTCTCCATCTGTATTTCTGTTTCCTATTTCAATTATCTCCTTCATCTTTTTCTCTCTCACCTCACCAACAAATTTATTTCAGCCTAACAATTTATTGTTATTCTTAAACAATTGCTTCAGGCCATCTTCTCCAGGAAGGCTTCTCATTCTTTCCTTCTGTGTGTACTATACATATCTTCATTATGGCCCGTGTCACACTGTATACACATTATTTGTAAATAGATTGATAGATAGATAGATAGATAGATAGATAGATAGATAGATAGATAGATAGACAGACAGATAGACTTCCCAAGATTATGTATAAACTCCTCAATTGTAAGGATTGAGTCTTACCTTTGTAGTCTCAGTATGTCACAGAATATCAGGCATGGAACAGCAGAAAGTAAATGAATGATGAATGAGTGAGTTATGTTGAAAAAATGAGAAAGTTGAAGATGAAAATTTTTCAAATTGGTTAGGTTTTTTACTAGACAAGTACAACCTAAAAATGGAGTGGTATACTTGTAATAATGTTTGAATAACTTAGTTAGAATGGGAAATTGTCATTAAAGCAAAGGTTTTTACCCTTAACTTTGAAATTATTTTCATAATTTTGTAAGAATGGAACTTTATGCTTGTGTCTAGGAATAGGATCCATAATTTTTACAAATGTTCAAAAGGCACTTTTGATTTTTAAAAAGTTCCAAACTGTTGTATTGGGAGGTTTATATAACAAAATCAAGGGAATAAGTACTAGGAATAGAGCACCCCATTACTCTGATAGAAGTCAGCAATCTGAAACGTGATTTTAATTTTGCAGAAACAGTCAGGTATCAACCATAAAGAGAACCACAGTGGGCAATCTTGAAACATAGCAAGAAAGCAAAATATTGCAAGAATTATTTACTTGAAAATTATTTAAATGACTAATTGATTTAAGCTATGAAAAATAGTTTATAAAAAATAAGACACTTATAGTCAATGTGTCTAAAATAAAGTAAAAGTCAGAATTTACACAACTAAACTGAGAAGGAGCTAATGTATGGAGTAATAAAATACAATCTTTGCTTTTGTATTCCTGTTAAGGGATAGCGAATATAATTATAAGCCAGTAAAATTTTCCTTACTGAAAAACATTAGTGCATATTAGGGCAAATTGATTGTCTTTCCTGTTTTTTGAAATACAATAAAAACATCATTATATAAGTAGGTCACAATACTCTAGGGAGCTGCTCTTATCACTTACACTTGAAGTCCTTTAAAAGATGATGATGATGGGCCACTGCCGCAGACGCTGCTGCCCCACAGACACTGCTGCCATTCCAGAAGGTCTCTTCTCTGGGCACAGCCTTGGTTGGCTCAGTTACCTCAGACACTACTTCCATTGCTACCTCCGGGGTCTCTGCCGCTGAACTGGAAATCTTCTGTCAATCAACTTCCACCTGTACCACTACAGCCATTGCTGCTGCCTCTGATTCTGCTACTGCCAGCCTGAGGTTGCCTGGAGGTTTTCTTTCTGGATACTGCTTCCACAGAAGACACTGTTGTCCCAGATGCAACTGAAGCCAACACTGCTGCTGATCTCCAGATATTGCCTGGTGATGCTGTCCCCACAGCGGCAGTTGCAGCTGTAGCCACCACTGCTTTTGACTTGCTAGCTGCTTCCAACAACCACTGCCACTATCACTGCTACCATGGTCTAGAGGACTGCTTTGGAGGAGACTCCAGGTTTGGTTGCATGTGGCTGCACCCATTTGGGGACACTAGCCAGGGCATGAGGCCCAGGTGCCAACAGGTTTACCACCACAAGAGCCTCTGACTGGGAACTCCAACCAGGACCTGCAGGTCTAGAGTGGGGATGCCTATGGGTTTGAGGAGCCTGGGATCATCCTGCTGAGAGTACTGGTTGCCTTTGTCTTGCTGCTCCATCTTGGAGTTGCTCCTTTGCATGAGTGTATCCCTAGTGGTCTCTCTGCAGTAGGAGCAGCATTGAGATTTTGGGACTGCAGCATGGCTGAGCCTGAGGTATCTGAAGCCCAGATTGGTGGGATAGAGACTGGGTTTACAAGAGCTGATCTGGGTTTGGTAATCCTGAAAGATGTCAGAGACAGGGCTGAGAAACTGTTGAACACTGACAGAGACAGTTCAACTTTCCAGCAAGATTTATTTTATTTTATTTTTTTATTTGCTAATCTCTCTACCATATTTGGAACAGGATGTTTTTTATGCATCAGTGTGTGGAGGACAATGATATAAGAATGGTGTTTTGCATTTTTGTTGTATTCTAATGTCTTTAATTTTTTCTCTGTGCTCATATTCTTCCTCTCTCTTGTCTATTTTCTTGGATTTTCTTTCCAAATTTTCTCCAATCTCTGTCAGCTTCTCTTGCACTCTTCCTGTGAATTTTTACTTCTAGATTTTTTTCTTCCTCCCTCACGAATTTCAAATACTACACTACCTCTGTTCTCTCATCCAGCATTTGAAATTGTAAACCATTTTAACAAATTTTCTGTTTGTACTGTAGATACAAGAAAGCAGTAGATACCTTAGTGGGAGCTATTAAGATTAAGGCTGTATATCATGTAGACTGGGTGCTGTTAATATTGTTCTCACCATTAAAAGCGAAGTGCTAGAAACCTTTACGGACACTATTGAGTTTATGCTGCCTTAGATCCATACTTCTAGTTGGGAAAATACACTAACAACATGAAAACTCAAGGGTATAAAGTGCCCCAAACAAATCAAGATGTTTCAACAACAGAAGCCACTGATAACATAGTAGAAGAAATGTCCAAAAAGGAGTTCAGATTGTACATAGTTAAACTGATATGTGAAGTAAAGGATAGTATAATGAGTGAAATCAAAGAAAAAATACAGGAAGTGAAAGGCCACTTCAATAAAGGGTTAGAGATTGTGAAAAAAAAAAAAACAAGCAGAAATCTTCTAAATGAAGGAATCAGTAAGCCAAATTATAAATTCAATAGAAAGCCTCACCAACAGACTGGACTACTTAGAAGACAGAACCTCAGACAATGAAGACAAAATATATAATATTGAAAGTAGAGTTCACCATGCAGAGAAGATGATAAGATACCATGAACAGAACATCCAAGAATTATGGGATAAATGAAAAGACCAAATTTAAGAATCATCGGAATAGATGAAGGAGCAGAGATACAAACCAAACAATGCACACTCTTCTCAATGATATAATAGCTGAAAAATTCCCAAAGAATGGAATGGAAAATCAAATACAAGAGGTTTACAAGACCCCAAGTGTACAAAATTACAGCAGATCCACACCAAGATGCCGCAGTCTGGCTGGGCACAATTCAGGAGTCACTTGTCAAAAGAAACTAACTTTATTTTTAGAACTACAAACGCCAAGCAAAACAGCTCCTCAGGAAAAAACCCTCAGAGCCCAACTGCCACCACCGGCTTCCACAAAGCCTCTCCCCCACACCAGCCTCTCCACCTCCCACAATGCTCCTGCTCTTGAGGCCGATTGGCTGGGTTTTGTGAGCGGAGCCAAAGAAGTCCCCCAATGAGCACCTCCGTGGAGGAGCCAATCAGCTAGATGTTGCTGGGGCCGCTGTGAGCCAATCATCAGCTGGCAGTCTGAAGGGCAGGGAAACAGCCCAATGAACATCACCGCAGAGGAGCCAATCAGCTAGATGATGCTGGGACCGCTGTGAGCCAATCATCAGCCGACAGCTGGAAGTTTGCTGGCAGCTGGAAGTTTGCTGGAGCCCCTTTGGCTGTGGCTCTCAAACTAAGACACATTATAATGAGAATGAGTTACAGAAAATAAAGGTAAAATATTAAAGGCTGTGAGAGGAAAAAAAATCAAATTACTTATGGGAAAACCAATTTGGATCTCATCTGATTTCTCAACCCAGACCCTCAAAGCTAGGAGGTCCTGGAATAATATTTTTCAAGCTTTGAAAGAAAATGGATACCAACCAAGAATTTTATATCTAGCAAAATTGTTTCAGATTTGAAGATGAAATTAAAACCTTCCATGATCAACTAAAATTAAAAGAATTCACAACTAGAAAGCCTACACTACAGAGTATTATTGACAAAATATTCCATGAGAATGAATTGAAAAAAAAAAAGTGAAAATCAGCAAAGGGAGGATATACACTAAAGGGACATTCAACCAAATGAGAAGCTAAGATAAATCCAAAAACCAGAAATAAATCAAAATGACAGGGAATACAAATCATATCTCAGTAATAATCTTGAATGTGAACAGCCTTAACTCATCATCAAAAGACATAGGTCGGCAGATTGGATTAAAAAGCAAGACCAAAAAATATGCTGCCTTCAAGAGACTCACCTCATGGGCTGAGTGGATGCACAGGCTGAGGTGAAAGGATGGGAAAAAAACTTATCAATCATATGGACTGCCTGAACAATCAGGGTTTTCGATTCTCATCTCAGATTAACCAAAGTTAATCAGAAGAGACAAATAAGGACATTTCATACCTCTTAAGAGGAGTATATATAAGCAGGACATAACAATCATAAATATTTAAGCCCCAAACAATGGAGTCTATGTACATCAAACAAACTCTTCTCAATTTCAAGAGTCAGATACACCACAATATAATAATACTGCGTGACTTTAACCCACCTCTCTCACTACTGGATAGATCTTCCAAACAAAAACTAAATAAGGAAACTAGAAGTAAATAATACAATTTCATCTGGCCCTAGCGAAAACGGCAATCAATCATCAAGAATTCAAATAGTATTAGATGCTGGTGAGGATGTGAGGAAAAAGGATCCATCACTCACTGTCCATGGGGATGTAAATTAGTACAGTTACTATGGAAAATAGTTTCCTCAAGAAACTGAAAAATAGAACTACCAGGAGATCTAGCTGTACCAGTCCTGGGTATACACTTGAAGGAATTAAAGTTGGCACACTATAGAGACACCTGCATACCTGAGTTTATCACAGCACAATTCACAAAAGCTAAGCCATGGAATCAGCTAAGGTGCCTGTCAATGGATGAATGATACAATGTGGTATCTATATAGAATGAAGTATTTTTCTCACACAAAGAACAAAATTATGCCATTTATGAAAAAATGGACAGAATTTGAGACCATAAAGATGACAAAATAAGTCGAGCTCAGAAAAGTATCATGTTTTCTCTCCTATGGGAAGGAGGAGGAAAAAGAGAGAAAGAACATCATGAGAGTAGAAGGGCAACCTTTAGGATGGATGATGCACACCAAGGGGAAAGAGGAAAAGAGGGTCAGGAGAATATTTGGGGAGTGAAATTGACCAAATTATGTTATATGCATGTAAGATTAGGCTACAATAAATCTGTTATCCTGTACCATTAATACACATAGATAAAAAATCTTTACAAGACTATTTTATCCTACTACCTTATTCTACCTTGAAGCTCTCAGAATAAATCTCATTGAATGTTGATGAATGTCTGTAGCTCATTTGCTGATATTACATGCGATTTTTGCATTACATTCATAAATTAGTTATAATTTTTAAAAAATGATGATGATGAGCCTATATTTGACATTTTCCTGTTTTAGTGAATCACCTCGAAAACATTTGGGACCTGTATGGCAACTACAGTGGATAGAACAAGATCGAGGAACAACAGGTGATGACAAAAGAGAAATCCTAGTTTCTATATCAGCAGATGGAAGAATCTCCAAATGGGTTATACGAAAAGGATTGGACTGTCATGGTAATATATATATAAAATAAATACACATATATTTTTAGCATAATATAGTATATAAATAGTATATGTCATATATAATATATACATATATGTGATTCATATATAAATATATGTATATATTAATATATTTTGAAATATATTAAGATATAAACATTGCATTATCTTTGTTTTGAAATGTATGGAATTAAAATATCCTAATGAACTAGTAATAATAAAACTGTGTTTGCTCATTGTTCTAATTTTTGCTAATTTTACCCTAATCACATGCAAAAGATGACAGAAATAATATTGTGGAGAAGATACACATGATGCTTGAACTATTTTTCATGTGATTAATGACAAATTATATTTTTTCCTTAAATAAAGACTTGATGCGATTGAGACGAACTACTGGTGGCATCAACAAGAAAGGAGGGGAAAAAGAGAAGAAAGGTGAAGCTTTGATATCTCGACAGGCTCCTGGAATGTGTTTTGCTTTTCATCCCAAGGTGAATTGTTTCAACCCATTGTTGACTATTGCATATAACAATTTCCAATAATTGAAATATATTAAGATATAAAATAAGACAAAATGTTGACATTCTAATAAATATTGTGCTTTGTACATGAAAAAATAAACATGGATATAGCTGTCAACCCTAGGTGGAATGGCATATTCTAGTTGGCTATATATACTATGCCCCTTACCTCCTTTTCCAGATAGAGGAGAGGTGTGCATTTCTGAGAAACTATGGAAGGATTCTCTTTACAAGTGTGTGATTAACAATGTCCTATCTTGCCCCTATTGGCCATTCTGCTACTCTGTTATGCTTATGCAACCCAAATCTATATAGTGCTCTGCATTTCAGTGGGAGTAACCACTTTCAGGACTGGGGAATTAGGAAGATCTCTTGAATTCATGTCTGTCAAGACCAGAGTCAAATCAGAGCATATTTAATAAAGTTCTACTTTTTTTTTCCAATTCTTCTTATCTCTAAGTACTTAGGGATCAGAAAATTCAGACACTTTTGATTTCTCAGAAAACAAATCCCATGTTTTCTGTTACATGTAATATGATCATCTTTTTAGTAACACCTCTACTTCACTATGCAAACAAAAATTGAGCTCTTTCTCTATTCTACCCTATTGTTCAAACAATATTTAAATCTTACTGTCCCTTCTTTTCCAGATCAAGGCTACTATTGTGAATATAGTTCAGGCCTTTTTTATTTTTCACTTTTATACTGTAGCCATCTTCTTACTGACTTCATTCACAAATCCTGTAATACAGCTTCACTTTGACTCTAGAAAACAGTAGTTCTCAACATGAGCAAGGAGAGGGGGATTTTTCTTCCAGGGGACTTTTGTCATTGTCTGGACAAATTTTTGGTGGTTAAAGCTTGCTGAGTGAAGATAAAGAAGAATTACTGGCATCTACTGGGCAGAGAACAGGGATGCTGCTAAATATCCTACAATGTACCAATAACCAGCCTCCTCCTTTTACCAGCAACTACCCAAATAAAAAATTATCTGACCCAGAATGTAAATAGTGCTGGGATGAGAGACCCTAGTCTGGTGTGTTAGAAATGCCATTTGCTAAGGAATTCCAGATGATCATGTGGTCTGAAAATAAAGACAGTTTTTCTTCTTCCTTTCTAATCTTGTTGCCTTTTATTTCTGTTTTCTTGCATGATTACACTGCTTAGAACCTCCCCATACAATAATGAATAGAGGTGAGGAAAACAGACACAATCTTGTCTTATTCCTGATCTTAAGGGAAAAGCATTGAGTCCTTTACTGTTAAAGTATAAAACCTACTGAAGGCTTTTTGTAGATGCAGTTAATCATGTTGTAGAATTTCCATTACATTACTAGTTTGTGGAGAATTTTTATGAGGAATGGATATTGGATTTTGATAAATGCTTTTTCTGTTTCTATTCAGATGTTAATATATAAATTTTTTCTTCTTAAGCTTGTTAATATGATGAATTACATTAATTATTGTTTTTGAATGTTTATTCCTGGAATAAAACCCAGTTGATCATGACTTATAACCCTTTAAATATACTGTTTGATTCAATATGCTAAAATTTGTTGTGAAATTTTTGTATCTTTATTAAAAAAATGGGTATGAAGTTTTATTTTTATGTGTTTGATTTTGATATCACGGTAATATTGGCCCCACCGAATTCTTTTTTAAAAAAGGTTTAGCATAAAATAGCATAATTTCTTTATTATATTTTATTGCATTAATCAGTCATGTGGGCCTGGAATTTTCTTTATAGGGAAATTTTAAATTATAAATTCAAAATCTTAATTGTTATGGTTATCTGTTTATTTCTGAGTGACTTTTAGGAATGTGTGTGTTTTAAGGAATTTGCCTATTTATTTATTGGCATAATAATATTCCCTTGGTCTCTAATAACTGAAGAATATGTAGTAATGCCAACTAATTCCTAATATTAGTAATTTTCTGATTACCCTATAGATTCTAACATGTTATATTTTCATTTTCATCTTCCTTCTCTTTTTCCTGATCAATCTGTCTAGAAATTCATCAGCTTTTCTTTTTCAAGCTGGGGATCTCACTGTGTTATGTTGTCCAGGCTGGTCTCCAACCCCTCAGCTCTGGTGGTTCTTCTACCTCAACCTCCCATAGTGTGTATATAGAAGGATAGAATCATACCATCACATTCAACTCAAATTTTACTAATTTTATTGATATTATAGAACCAAGTTTTGATTTAACTGAGTTTCACTGTTGTTTTTCTGTTCTGTACATATTGTTTTCCACTCTTATCTTGATAATTTCCTTTCTTCTTTCTATTTAGTTTTAATTTACTCTTGTTTTTCTAGTTTTTTAAGATTAAACCTGAGGTCATTGATTTGCAACTTTTCTTTATTTTCTAATATAGGCTAAGTACCACTTCAGCAGCACCCCACAAATTCTGACTTTTTATATTTTCATTTTCATTCTATGTGAAATACTTTCTAATTTCTCTTTTTATTTCTTCTTTAATGGATATGTTATTTAAAGATATGTTAGTTTCTAAGTATCTGATGATTTTCCAAAAGTCATTTTGTTATTGCTTTCTAATTCCAACCCGCCATAATCAGAGAATATACTTTTTCTGAATTGGATCCTTTTGAACTCAGATATGTTATAAACTTCAGACTGTGGCCTTTATTGGCAATTATTCCTGTGCACTTGACAAAAATATGTGTTCTGCTATTGTTGGGTGAAGTGTTTTAAAAATGTCAATCAAATTAAGTTGGTTGATAGTGTTGTTCAAATTTACTATCTCCCTGCTGATTTTGTTCCTACTTTTCAATCAGTGACTGGGAAAGAGGAAAGAAACTCTCTAAACATAATCATTAATTTGTCTATTTTTCCTTGCAATTCTATTTTGTTTTTTTGCATCATAAAGCTTTGTTATTAGGTATGCACAAACATGTTTAGGATTGGTATGCCTTTTTGATTAACTAACTCTCTTATAAATATGAACTTATTTATAACTATTATGCTATTTATTATGAGATTCACTTAGTCTGATAGTAATGTAGCCATTCCAGATTTTTAACTAGCATTATGTGTTAGCATGATTTTCATTTCCTATCACTTTTTTAAAACTATTTGTGTTTTTGCACTTAAAATATATTTTATGTAGACAGCATATAGTTGAATCTTGTTTATTTTATAGAATCTTAAAACCTCTGCCTTTTAATTATTATGTTAAAATCACTTACATTTAGTTTCATTATTTATTATGGTTAAAGTTGAGTATATTATCTTGCTTGATTGGTTTCTGGAAGGGGGAGAATATAAAACATCTGGCCTTCTTGCTTTATGGCAGGACTCTTAAGCCACCAAGTTTATGGCTTTTTTGTTTTTGTTTGTTTGTTGAAGTATTGGGGATTGAACCCAGGGGTGCTCTGTATCCCAGCCCTTTTTATATTTTACTTTTGAGACAAGTCTTGCTGAGTTGCTAAGCCCAGTATGAACTTGTGATTCTCTTGCCTCAGCCTGTCAAATTGCTGGGATGACAAGTGTTGCATCATCATGCCCAGTTAAAGGCAGTACTCTTGTCCCTTAAGGGCCTTCCTAGAACTTCTTACAGGTTATACTGATCTGTCTGTTGTAACTTCAGCTTCAGTTGTAGTTCAACCTAAATCTTTGACTAGTCCTGTTTCCCTCTTGGAGGCTGTTTCTGAGACCACTCCTCAATAAACCTCTTGCATGAGATTTCAGAGTTTATGTACTAGGCAATTGACCTTTTGACACTGACCTTGCAGTTTTAAATACTTACATATACTACTGCATGTGTATCAAATTTTAATGTACATACAAATCACTTGGGAATCTTTTTAAGATGCAGATTCTGGTTAGTAGGTCTGGGGTAAAGCCTGAGAATTTGCAGGTCAGAAGTGCTCCCACATGATGACAATGTTGTTGGTCTATGACCATAACTCTGTATAGCCAGTACGTTGAGTATTGACTTTCAGCCTTTTTAAAGACTTTTCATGACCCACTATGCACAGATGTTTTAAATCCCTATTGAGCATACATGTTTAGTGTTCAAGAAGTCTGAGATGCCATCTGCTTCAACCTCTCATTCCCAGTAATTAAAATTTCTTCAACATTGTATACATAAATATTTATGGTTAAGTTATCTCTTTTCTTTTGACTATCTCCAGTGAAAAAAGCAGTTATCATTTCCCTAGATTGTTAGCTCTATCATTAGGCAAATCTAAACATTGAAAAGTCTTTTCCTTATTTAAGTCAAAGTTTTTCCATGTAATTTTTTATGCCATTATACATGTACTTTTTTTGCATTACAATTTTTAGTACACATATATATCACAATTTTTCGTATCTCTGTTTATATATAAGGTATGTTGACACCCAATTCAAATCTTCATACATGTACTTTGTATAATGATGATTATCACATTCCACCATCCTTGCTAATCCCCTTCCCCCTCCCTTTCCCTCCCACTCTCTTCCCTATCTCCATGTAATTTTTAAACAGGATATTTAAGTAATATCCTCTATTCTAGTACAGGATATATATATTTTTTCTTTTGTGCTGTAATATTTCCAGTAATTTCATTATTATAAATATATAACAGAAAGAAAAAGGCAATAGACAACTATATTCAATATTATTTTGGTTTTTTAATTGATTTCAATAGACCCTGAATTGTCCCACCTTCTATCTGTAGCACACTCACTAATATATCACAGGTCAATACATTTTGATTTCTTGTGTTGTAGGACACAAATATCTATTTGGCTGGCACTGAAGAAGGTCATATTCACAAGTGTTCTTGTTCATATAATGAACAATACCTAGAAACCTACAGAGGACATAAGGTTAGTTTAATTATAATAGGTATGGGAAATTTATTTTATAGTATTTTTGCAAAAATAGTATTACATATAGTATATTTAACATGCAATAAATTTACAATTTGTAGTAAAAATAGTAGCTTGAATTAAGTGCTTTCTTAAAAAGCACCAATAATGTGTGATATATTTTATTTGACTTCTTGTTATCATTGATTTTTTTTTTCTTGCAAGTTATGGAAGTGACACTGTTCGTTTCTAAAAGACTTATGATACTATATTGATCCCAAAGTAAAACTGTCTCTTGCCCATACCTAATCTATATATTTATCATTTTTCAATTCACATTTCTTTCCTTTTCTCCTTCATTTCTTGATTTTCTTAATACTACTTGTTATTTTCTTAAAGAAAGTATAATATATTAATATTTAATGATACCACTGTATTTTTACATCTCTATATGGACTAATTAAGGGAGGATTAAATTTATGATATTATTCTTCTCAGCTTAAATAATACCCATGCAATAATGGATGATGTTGAATATGCTAGAAATCTTAGTATTTTTAATTTGCCAGTCAAGTTTTAAATGTAAGATATTAAGTATTATTTGCCAATGTATTTAATTTTCTGTTCCTAGGGCCCAGTGTATAAAGTAACATGGAACCCATTTTGTCACGATGTATTCTTAAGCTGTTCTGCAGATTGGGGTGTTATGATATGGCATCAGGAGAATCTCAAACCATTTTTGAGTTTTTATCCAACTACTCACGTTGTTTATGATGTTGCCTGGTCTCCAAAATCATCCTATATATTTGCAGCTGCTAATGAAAGCAGAGTGGAGATTTGGGACCTTCACATTAGCACGTAAGTTAATGTTTTCTTAAAGCTGTTTAAACTAATTGGTACCTGATAGTTTTGACATCAGTTAAAGAATATTATAGTTACTTTAAAACAAATAATAATAATTTACTTCACACGAGTCCTTTATGAATAAAGATATGTGTCAAGATATGATATTAACATTGATTACTTATAACATGTATTTTTAAAGCATCTGAATGAAAATAGTTTACTCATTTTCTCAAACTTTTACAGGCTGATATAGATTATCATAACTACCTTAAATTCTATTCATTGCTTAGTTTGTAGGAGAACCCAGGGAGGCATACTTAATTCATTTTCCCATTTTTAAAAATTTGTTCTTTTTAGATATACATGACAATAGATTTATTTTGCCATATCATACATAGCATGCTTACATTTCTAACTAAGGATTTTCTGCAATAATATAAAGAAAGGAGACAAAATAATTATTTTTGCAATATTTATTTATTCTCTTACCTTATTTCAAAACTCTTCAAAAAGGATATGTACTTAATTTTTTTTTGTTTAAGATGTTACACCAAGGATAATAGAAGGTCATCTAGATCCATCTATTCTTCGTAATATGAAAATTTTTACATGCTGGAATGAAAAGTTTAATGTTGCTATTTCCATTAGAAAGTGTCATAAGTTTTTATGGAAATTAGCAGAAGGAGCAGGAAAGTATATTTTGTTCAAATAATCTTATTCAGTGAGTCTATTCTTAATAGTAACAATTTTCTAGAAGTTAATAATTCAATAACTTAAAATTTTTGTCATAATTTGTTGTATAAATCAGTATCAACCAAAAATCAAGGACTACATAACAAAATTAATTACTTTTGAGTAGGAGATAACTAACATTAAAAAGTAGCAATTTAAATGCTCTAAGCTCAGATTTTAATTTTTCTGGTAAAACTATGGTTCCCAGGACAACACTTATTTAGAAGCTACTTCTGTTCTCTTTTTGAAGGCATGAATGGATTGTTTTTAATGACCAACACAAGAAAAAGGTCCTGTTCAGAATGTCCTCTTATGTTCCAGAGATTCATTTGGATTAATACATTCCTCTGTTAATTATAACTGTTATTTAATAAGTTGTGTTAGTCAAGGCACTCTAGAGAAGCAGAACCAGCAGAATGATTGCCTTTGTCTCAATCACTTATCTTCATCTCCATATCTATATTGAGTTAGATGTACCTTAAGGAATTGACTCAAACATTCATGGGTTCTAGCAAGTTTGTAGTCTGCTGGACAGTTTGGCAGGCTGGAATTTTTGTCAGGAATCCTGTTGCAGTGTTGAATCCAAAGAACATTCTGATTAAGGAGTGTGAAATAGTTATTTTGAGTTTGGAAAAACAGGCTTTTTGTTGTTATTGTTTGTTTATTTTAGTACCAGGATTGAACACAGGGTTGCTTAGCTACTGAACCACATTCCCAGCTCTTTTTATTTTTAAATAGGTTCTTGATAAATTTTTTAGGGCCTTACTAAGTTGCTAAGGTGTGGCTCTGAACTTGAGATCCTCCTGCCTCAGCCTCCCTAGTAACTGAGATTATAGGTGTGCACAAGAACACCTGTTGGCTTTTGAGGGTTTTTTTAACATGAAGTTAAAAAAAAGAAATATGGAACTTTTCTTAGTTTGTATGTTAACAAATACCATTTTAATATAACAACTGAATTTTTAAATAAAATGTTTCATTACAGTTTGGACCCTCTGATTGTGAATGTGGCTAACCCTGGAATCAAGTTCACAACTATTCTCTTTGCCAAACAAACAGATTGTCTTCTAGTGGGAGACAGTGATGGACAGGTTGCTGTGTATGAACTGAGAAATATGCCTACTGCTTTGGACTCTGGCCGAGTAAGACTCAATTTAATTTGTGTTTTATTAATCTATTCAGTTGTAACTTTGTAACATGCAATGGATATATCATTTTTAAGTATCTTTAGTGTACTGTAATGGAAAGGACATAGATTCCAAGAGTTGCTACCTAATAGGCTTAGATTTTCTGTCAGCCTTATTTTTTTTGGTTTGTAAAAGATAGATTTTGAGAATAATAATATAGCTGAACATACAAATTATAAACATTATCTGTAAGAAATTAGAATTGTGCTGAGTATGCAGTCAGGACTTAGTAATTGTTAAGTATAGCTAAAGTGGTTATTGTACATGTTCAAAGATTTTTATATGATATAACCATAGTTTTAGATATTGCTGAAATAGACATTTGTTTCTGAAATAGACATGTTCCTGAAATAGACATTTGTTTCTGTTTACATAGCATTATTTTCTTTTTCTGTTCATATCCCTCAAATCCTAAATGGAGCCTCAAGGCTTAAATCAATATCTCTCTCTCTCTCTCTCTCTCTCTCTCTCTCTCTCTCTCTTTCTCTCTCTCTCTCTAAATTTCATGATTCTTTTGGTTCTATTTCACAAGAACTCTAAGAACTGGTCCACAAACTCTGAACTTGGGGTAGTAAAAAGGGCTCTTATAATTTATATATTCCCATTACCCTTGTCTCAGAGTTTCTAATTCTCTATAGCTTTGCTAGTACTCGATATTGGCTAATACTTTAATTTTTGTCAATTCAATCAATGTGAACTAGTAGCTTATGTAATTTCAGTTGCATATTTCTTCATTATCAGTGAGAATGACTGTTGCTTCATAAATTTTTTGATATTGTATTTTCCTTTTCTGTGAATTCCTGTTTTACAATTTTATCATTGTGAAAAATTGGTTGACTTTTTCTACAAGTTAGTAATGTAGATTTTAATAATCATTTTAAGTGAGATTTTGAAACAGTTAAATTTTGTTAATGTGGTTTATATAAACAATGTAATTTTATTCAGCCATAAAAATGAATTAAAAAATATCATTTCAGGAAAATGGATGGAACTGGAGAGCATCATGTTGAGAAAAATAGGCCAGATTCAAATAAAAAGGGTTGTATTTTTCTCTTGCATGTGGAAACTGGCAGGGGTGGGCTGGGGGGATCTTATAAAATAGAAGGAGACCCATGGACTAGAGGAAGAAAATCAGGTGGAAGGAGGAGGGAGGAGCAAAAGGGGAATTTTAAATATTGGATTTTAAGTACTTCAGTTGTTTTGTAGACAATCAAATCTTAATTATTTAAAGTAGTCTTATTAATTTCATAAATTAAAAAATTGAAATATGACAAATTTTAAATTTTCTTTAATATTCCAATGCTTTTTTATTTTTAATGTTTATTTTTTAGTTGTAGTTAAACACAATATCTTTGTTTTACTTATTTATTTTTATGTGGTGCTGAGCATGAAACCCAAGCTGTCACACGTGCAGGCGAGCACTCTACCTCTGAGGCACAATCCCAGCCCCTAATGTTCCAATGCTTTTTATAAGTTAATTAACATAAATTTAAATCTATATTTACTAGTCTATATTCAGTTACAAATTTGTGTAAAAATCAAATTTTAATGTTAATATCTAATATGAAAATTTCTCATATATAATAAATAAAATATGAATATATAAAAATTTCTTAACACAAAATATTAAAACTATCAAAACTACCTCTTTCATTTGCTACATGATTTCTATACAAATGCTTATTCTGTGGATAAAAAAAGAATAACATTACAAGTACTTTTGGAAATTATTATCTCAGATAACTGAGATACATATGAGATAGACATGCTAGGACAAAATGGCAGATAAATAGGAAGAGGCTTTTTTCACAGCTTCATGACTCGGGACTCAAGTAGCTAGAAAACTACTTCTCTGTGAGGTGAATGAAAAAAGCACTCCACTATATTCAGTATTGGACAGAGAGCCTTGAAGAGTGGGAAATGTAGGTACATCAGAAAAGGATAAAGAATAGATATGGAGCTGAGCTTCTGGCAGGAACAAGGAAAATTAACACACAAGGTTGGAAAAGACTAAAAAGTGCTAGGAAAGTCTTGGTGTGGGGAGTCCCAGGAGCAGAAGGCCAGCCTGCCCTGAACCCAGAATATTTGGCTTATTAAACTGGTTCACTAAAGTCACATGAGTCTGCCTGCTGTGCACAGGGAACCCAAGCTGAAGACATTGGTACCTCCAAGCATGTGACAACAGCACCAACTCACACTAGGAACTTAGATCCTTGAGTTCAGGGCTGAGTCACATGAATCCAGCAGACGCTAACCGTGAGATCTAAAATGAGTCTAGTAAATCAGGATAATCTCTGTCACAAAGAATTTTTGGCATAGAGACCATTTTGCCTAGGGATAATACAGATCAGAGACGCCTGGAGAAAGCCTGCCCTCCCCGCTCCCTTGAACCTGGCAGCGCGCAGAACCAGGGAGAATCTGAATGGGCTGAGTGACTGAGCTCAGTGCTAAACAAACCTTGGGAAGCCAAAAAGGCCAGTATCTCCAAACAACAGGATGGGCATAGTACTGACTCTCCTTCCCATGACTGGTGCCCTGGGGAGAGTGGTGGGGTACAGGCCCAGGTGTGTATTGATTCATTAAGGCCCGATAACTCCCCAAGCAATAAAACACCTGGAGCAGTATGAGACCTAAGCCCCGCCCCTGAGAGCTTCACTTGGAGAAACTTAACTTATAGAACCCAACAGCAACTATTCCCTGGAAGGGAAGCCAAAAGTATTTTCCACAGCTCCTTACACCACCCTGCTGTGAAGGGAAACTGAGAAATGTAAAGACAGTTTGGCATAGATAGTGTGCATATACTCTCATTGACTATTCTGTTATTTTGTTTTGTTTTTGAATTTGTACTAATTCATACATGATGAACATTTATACATTTATACACATGTATATTTGTTTCTGCTTTTTCATTTTTAGCACTTCTTTAAGGCAGTTATTTTTTTGTGCTCTGTTTTTTTGAGGGCTAGGATTTTGATTACTATATTTTGGATTGATTTTTTATTGTCTGTTTCACAACTCTGTTTCTCTTTGTTTCTTAACAGCCAAATTCTATTGTTCTCACTTTCACTCTTCCTTTAATTCTTTTACTCCCCTGTTTCTCCCTAATTAAACACATCCTACATTGCTTCTTCATTTACCCTCTTCACCTATTGAAATCTTATTCTACCCTGCCTCATTTCTTCATCTTTGCTCTTAATTCACTCTATCTTTAACTGGCTACTTACACATATTCATCTCTGTTTATTTTTTCTCATTTCTATTTTTCCTACACTTATTTTTCATGAGTCAGTATTTTAAAGGGCTAACATGTTTGATGAGTATATATCAATTTTGTTCTTATATCTTTTATATCTTTATTTTAATTTAATTTTTATTTTATACATATTTTTCCTCTCACCTGCTTCCCTTGAATCTTCTCTCTTTTCCTCTGCTAACAGTCAATCTCTGTTGATTTACTGTTTCTTTAATGTTTTGCTTCTATTTTCTCTCCTCCTCCCTCATAATCATCACATCCTACATCACTTCTGTTCTATCCCTTTCCACTACATGAAAGTGTAAATCTTTTTGAAAACTTACTGTTTATACCATGGGCAATAACTGTTGATATAATTTCTGATTATTGTGACAATCAACAGTGTAGATTACATAACAAGAACTGTTTGGTTTAATGATGTAAGTTATTTGCATTGGCTGTTGTTTGTATCTGTCTCTTGCTTAGCTGTGAGGTACTAGAATAATAATTCATTAATTAATTAATTGGGACATTATTAAGTCCACAGGGTAGAAACTCTACTGCCTCAAAACCAATGCTAGTTGGTTAAACACACAAATAACATGAAAAAGCAAGGGAACAAATCACCCAAATTAACCAAAATACAGAATCCATTGACACCACAGTGGAAGAAATGTTAAGAAAATGAGTTTAGAATGCTCATAATTAAATTGATCTGTGAGGTAAAGGACAATGTAAGGGAGAAAATACAGGAAGCAAAAGGTCGCTTCAATAAAAATATAAATATAGAGATTCTGGGGGAAAAAACAGAAATCCTCAAAATGGAAGAATCAATAAATCAAATTAAAAATTCAACTGAAAGCATCACCAACAGACTAGACCACTTAGAAGACAGAATTTCATGCAATGAACACAAAATATATAATCTTGAAAACAAGATTGACCATGGAGAAAAGATGTTAAGAAAACATGAACATGAACAGAACTTCTCAGAAATATGGAATAACCTGAAAAGATCAGATTTAAGATTTATTGAGATAGATAAAGACTCAGAGATACAAACCAAATCTTTCAATGAAATAATAACTGAAATTTTCCCAAATCTAAAGCATGAAATGGAAAATCAAATACAGGAGGCTTATAGGACCCAAATATACAAAATTTCAGCAGACCCACACCAAGGCACATTATTATGAAAATGCGTAACATACAGAATAAGGATAGAATTTTAAATGCTACCATAGAAAAATGACAGGTCACATTTATAGGGAAATCAATCTAGATTTCAGCTGATTTTTCAACCTAGATCCTTAAAGCTAGGAGGTCTGGGAGAAGATGGATGCTGACCAAGAATACTATAACCTACAAAATTAAGCTTTAGAATTGATGGTGAAATAAAAACCTTTGATAGTAAAAACAAACATTAAAAGAATCCACAACTAGAAAGTCTGAACCACAAAACCAACTCAATAAAATATTTTATGAAGAAGAAATGAAAAATAAAGTGAAAACCAGCATTGGGAGGAATTACACTAGAAGAATAATCAAAGGAGAAATTAATTCAAATTAAAAACCAGAAATAAATCAAAATGACAAAGAATAAAAATCATTTCTCAATAATAACATTGAATGTGAGTGGCCTAAACACGTCAATCCAATGATTGGATATAAAAAACAGGACCGAAGAATCTCCAAAAGATTCACCTCATATTCAAAGACATTG